ACTAAAACATGTTCCCATTGTAGTTCAATAGTCATTTTGTGGGATAAAGCAAAAAAGAATTAGAACCCTTTCTTTGTGACATTTACAAATTTCTAAACTTCAGTTTTAGTGAGTAAAATGCTATCACTCCATCTGTTTACATCCAAAGAGGTGGGGCAGAAGCTAGAAGCAGCATGCAGAAAGGTTGGTAACATACCACAATTGTGACCCTGTTTTACCAGTCCAACTTGCTCTACTGGAGGGGTGAGACTCCCATGGACTTTGGGCTCTGCAACCACTGCTTCCTGATGACAGCTGAGATAAGTGTGCTTGGTTATCCAACAATAGCACTGGAGATGTACAGAGGGTGGAGGAATCCCTTCTGGGATACATTGACATTAGGTTCTTGTATGAAAAACCTGATGTATAAGTGAAGAGCCAAATTAAATATAGATAATCTGAGGTAGGGAGCTCTTTTTTCAAATGGGAAGGGAATTAAGAGTAGGAGGGAATGAGAGGATGGAAGAGAGGGAAACAAGTTGAAAAATATTGAGAAAAATGGGATAGATATTTTGCAAATGGGAAGGAGACCAAGAAAGGGAGGGCAAAAAGAATTAAGGTGTGTTATGTCCATGTACCAACTTCCCATGTTGAATTGAATCACTGTGTGCTGTACACATGTTCTAATAGAAGTGAACAAACACAAAAAGCAGTCGGTATCTGAGCCCAAGGATCTATCTTGGGTTTTGATCCTAAGATTCAGGTTCCCTTGTCCTAGTATCTGAAAAAGGACCTTAAGAGTTAGCCAAGGGGGCTGATGGAGTATCTTTATTTTTTTAGGATTTGTGTGTGTGTGTGTGTGTGTGTGTGTGTGTGTGTGTGTGTATTTGCAGAGTTTCACTACACAGCCCAGACCTGTAGTGATCCTCCTGATTTCTGCCTCCCAAGTGATGGGATTACAGGAGTGTCGCCAAGCCTGGACTCCATTGCTAGCTCTGCATGCCTGCCCGGGGGTGGGGCCAGAGTGGCATGTAGAGCCAGGGATCGAACCCTGGTCTCTACACTCACTTAACCAAGCACTTAGTCCACTGAACTATACTGCTGGCCTTTGGAGTATCTTTAAAACATTGGAAAAAATCACTGCCTATGGACACAAACTCAACTATTTTATTTTTTCTTGTGATAGCATAGAATGTGGAAACTAGCCTATATTTAATTTTTAAATGTACAAATCTTAACTTTTTAAAGATTCTTATTGTCATTAGTGCAGTACATAATGATTGCATTCATCCGGGGGAGTTAGTATGTGTACATAGAATGTCTTCATTCTTTTTCCATCCTTCTTCCCTCCCTTCCACTGTGCAATTTCTAGGTTTCTTTCCCATTTGCAGAAGATTTTTTTTAAACTTACAATTCGTTTTCAGTGTTTATTGTTCAGATGAAAAAGTGCTGACAAGTTATTTTCACTTCTTTATCCTCTAAACCAGCGGGCAAGTATTTATGGTATGTGTTATACTTTATTATGAAGTTCCCGGATGTCAGATAAACAGAAGCTGTTGCCCAGGGTTTCGGAGAACATTTGACCTAACGCCTCTCCTCCCAACCACATGAAGTACCCCATGCAGACGCTGTGGAGAAGTCTTTGTTCCCACGGAGTTACTACAAATTAATTTGGAATCAGCATTATGATATTTTGGACCAAGAGCAAGCCACATTTCCAAGAAAGACGTAAATTTTATCTGATAATTTGTCTGCAAAGTGCAAAGGTAGTTGTAAAGTGCAAAGGTAGAGAAACATGTTATCTTTTCAATTTCCACTTTGTATAACAATATAAAAATTCTGCAAGGAAGGCAGATATGTTTGTTCTCATTTGCTGAGTCAGAAAACTGAGCCTGGGAGGTTGAGGTGCTTTGCCCAGGATCTCGCCCTGTGATTGGAGGACCCTCATACTTTTATTTGGCAGTATGAGAAAAAATATCCCCTGCCTATTAGTATACAGTTGAGAGTACATCTACAGCGTTAATCAGTTGTTAATTTTACTTCGTTAAGATTCAGAACATCCCTAGTTGGTAATCCCTAACCAGTCGACACTTCTCTCTCTACCTGAGACTCAGATCCTCGCTAGGTTGCTAACTCCACAGGTGTCCTGAATTGGAGGAAGAAGACCGTGTTAATCCACAACTAACAGCTGTGTTTTTTGTTCCACATTTTCAGTTTGTGCCAGACTGCCTGAATAAACACACTCCATCTAAATACACATTTACATCACCTAAATGATTGTATGGATGTAGTAAGTGTGGTATTCACAGAAGGTGATTTTTAAGCATAACAAGTTTAGCGAGAAGATTCAGAAACAGCTGCAGGAAGATCAGAGGGTGGAAACCAGATTTTGCAATTTACTAAATGTTGAATGTGACAAATACATTATATTAAAGGGGAAAAAATAAAGTCACATTTTCAAACCCAATCTGTATGTTTTTTAGAGGTCCGATCAGAATATAAAGCCAATAAATACACCGCATGACAAGAGTGGTGAAACCTTATTTTTCTGGCTCCACTTCCAGTGATTTTCAAGAAAGGCAACTTTGCTCAAGTTCTTCCTGAGTGGTTTTGGAATGCATCTATAGGTTTCTCAGCAGTACATGTAAATAGTCTTGTCTTGGGAAAGGAGACATTGGAGGACTTGGATTCCTCAGCTTTCATCCAGTGCCCAATTTACTCAGGGCTAATCCTGAGGCACCATCAAGATTGCCCCAGTGCTACAGTCAGTCAGCATCTCTTGAGACAGCTCAAAGGTGCAACATTTGTGCTGAACGTGCCAATTCTGTGTCTGCTGGCCTCAGTGCTGTTGGCTAATCATTCCCTCTAAGTCACACTAAGAATGTAGTAACAGTAGTTTTCTTGTATGTGTCTCCATCCACCCTTTAGTGTCAAGGCTGCATTTCAGTGTCATCTACCTTACTGTCCTTACCTACGCCTCAGTTCCATTTTGCTTGAACCAAAGCCATGGTTTGAACTACTCTAAGTTTCTATTAAGTCTATTTGTGTGGTTGTTCTTACCAAACCCTGTAAACCTGACCAGATGCATCTCAGGAAAATGAAGTCCCTTGGAAGAACCAGGGAGATACTTGAAGGTACATATTGGTAGTCACCATGTTCTGTGATGCTGCCCCAAGGTGTTTCTGGGACAAATGTAGGGGATTTTTGTCACATTATTCAGTGTTCATGTTTGCAGGTTTGCTGTCTTAGCAAGACATAGTATAGAAAAGAGCTTTCTATGATTTTTTTTTCTTTCTTTAACATCTTGGATTTGCCAAGGACAACTGATGTCATTTGTAATATGGTGTCTGTTTGGTAGGCATGCCATTGTGTTTGACTTGCATGGGAAAGGAGAGAAAGATGTTAGTCTGGAAGAAACTGGTTTTTCTCAGGGAAGAAATGACTCACTGTCTCAAGGCTGGAGTTTCGTGAATCCACTGTATATCTAGTGGACATCTTGCCACCCTACACTCTGCCTTTTATGGACAGTGTTGCTTTAAATGCTGAACTATCCCATCAAGTCAAATCCTTCCACCTTAGGTGGAACTGATCTTTACATTTGAAATATTTCTTTGAAATATTTGAATTCTAATATTTAAAATCATCCTCCAGACTTCTTTGCTTTGTTACTAACTTTGTATTCACAGGGCATCTTGCCATCAACACCTTGATATTAGCTATGCACAATTACATTTAAATCCTAATCCTTCTCACCAACATTATGCCAAATATCATTATTCAAGATCCACCTTGGGTGTTTCTGAGCTCTCACTTGACTTCTCTGAGCTAATTTTTCCTTTTTTCACTCACTGGAGTCATACAACATGTATGTGCTGAATGAATGAATGGGCCTTTGTATATTAATCTTTGAACTAGAAAGACTGAAGTAGCTTATTATATGATCTCATTTAGCCCAAACATTTAAAAATTGTTTAAGTATATATCATCATAATTGGCCAGGGCACAATGATGTACAGTGCAAGAACAACTTAGATAGGACAATCCTCTATAACTGGATTTCTGCTTTAAGTAGAGACTTGATTGAGCATACATTTAATGTCACAGCATAAAGATAAGTATATCATACATGGGATTTATTCAGGATAAAATGTACTACTTTTTGAAATATGTTCTGAAATATATTTTCTGAAAATTCCTTTAGAAAATAAATGAAAAAGTAAAGATTGTTTAAAAAATACATTAAATTACCAAAGCTTAATTAAATTCCTCTATCATACATTAAGACAACCTGGAGCATTTTATCCTAGCACCCTCACAATGGGAAGATGGCATTGATGTTGTGACCTGTTAAAGTTTCCAGTGAGAAAAATTATAGAAATGTGCTAGGGAGGCGTCTCTGATTTGAGATGCTTATGTTTAATGTGGGACAAACCACATAATCTTGGAGGCAGACAAATCCAGTTTTGAATTCTGGATCTGATGTGCTACTTATCAACTCTGAAGTCTTTGTCATACTGAGATTCAATTTCCATATCTGTACAATCTATTATAAGTTTATTATTTTGTCTATATTTCCAGACTTTTGGATACTATGGATTTATTTATTATGCTTTATTATCAATTGATAATTAAATTCATAGTTTAGTGCCTATTACTTAAAAAGGCAACAGATATGCTGCCTTAAAATAAACTTGTCATTTTGTTTCTGGCTTTTTTTTATTTGTTTTTGAGACAGTGTCTTCTATGTAGTTAAGGCTGGTCCTGAAATCATTATGAAGCCCAAGCTGGCCTTGTCCTTGAAGAAATCCTTTTGCCTCAGCCTCTTGAATGCTGGGATTACAGGCCTGTACTACCTTACCAGGCAGTTTCTGTTTTCTAAGACATTCTTTAGGTGAAAGAGATGTCTATTTATGAAAGTAAAATACATGTTATAGGAAATAAAATATTGTCCTGAAAAATGACATAAGCCCTTGGAAATGACCTCTCTCATGAACTCAGTCTTTCAGTTTTCTTTGCATTAGAAAGCAAGTCATTGAGGATGGAGGGCAGAGGACCAATGAGAAACAGGAGCAGTAATGACCAATGTGGTTGGAAGATGCCCATCATGATGCTGAACTTCAAAACTATCACCATCTTGGCCATGTTGAAAAGCTCTAGATGGAGCAAAAAGAGACAGAGCTCTTGTCCTACTGAACTCTCATCAGAACTCCTAGATGTATGCTGATTTTCCACGTCAATAAGGAACCTCTCCAGGTGCAATTGGCTATAATCAGTTGTATAATTTGGAAGCAAGAATGTATTCCAAAGTGTTTAATTAATGCCACTTCTACTATTAGGTCCTCATTTGCTTGTTAATACTTGGCTCTCTTTTACTGGGATTGATCTGTTTTGAGGACTCAGTGATACAGAAAAGAAATTTCCATCTTCTGCACCTCATTCTTGTATACAAGTGGCTGTTCTAAGTAGCTTCACCTTCCCCATGAGCATGCAGGAGGGATTTTCAACTTTGATGGAGTTTAACACTGCCCTTCTGTGGTTGGAGAAACTTACAGCTAGGACACTTGTGTGACTCTCAGGTGCAGCTGACTAATGGCAGAGCTGGGATTAGAACTCATTTTTTTCTGACACTAAAACTAGTGCTATTTTTCTATGACCATGCCTATCCTCTGAATTCCAAAAAGAGGCATGGTTGAAATATCCATGTATATTCCTAAAAGGATATATATATAT